GCAAAAATTTATTTATCAAAATTGTTAGAAAGTATCATATTCATAACAAAAATCATGATTTTATTACACAGGAATAAAGGAAAAGGTATTCTCTTAGAACATTACGAGTACCTAGACACGATAAATGAATAACGTCTGCCTCATTATATCCATTATTTCTTGCTGGTGCCTCCCCTTTGAAGAAAACCTTATGTTTCATATATCCTTTCCCTTTTTATGATGGCGGAGCATTATGCGACAGTGTAATATGAAACTAGCTATCACATCTCCTTACTTGTATATACTTCATATATAGCTGTCTATGTTACGCTGAAACCTCTATCTGACAAATTTTCATGCAAATTGCATATTCATCTAACAGTTGCAAAATATATTATTAAAAAACGTAAATTATTTTTGCAACAATTCTATTTTGTAAAAATAATTTCGAGATTTTTATACTTTTATATAATATATGTGTATGATTAATTTTGTCTAATAATCTTCAATACAGCGAACAATCGGATATGAAAGCGCAAATAAAATGACACAGAATTTACTGCAAATGCACGAACAGTTTTGCACATATCGCGAATCTCGTGCGCGGTTTCCAGTTTCGTCCGAACGTCACTATGTAAAACCAAAGCGAGCTCGGTAGACCGGCAGACATTCGACCGCCTCTGCTTTCTCCCTATCAGGGATGGGGATAGGTTTCGCGAAAGGATACGATACAGAAGAGGCGGGAGGGTTAACGGAGATGAAGGAGTCGAAAGAAGGAAGGAAAAGCGGTACAGGAAGGAAGAGAAGAAGCAAAAGGGGCATGGAAAGCGGAGGAACCAGAGGCATCATCTGATCCTCGGTTCCCTAGGCGCACCCCTCGCCACCCCTTTTCTCTTACCTCCTCTGCACACTCTTCCTTGCACTACTCCACTAGACGACTCAAGGCACTCTTCGCACCCTCTCCCTCTTTTCCTCTCCACCTTTCTCATACCTTCGACCTTGTTTCTCGCACTCCGTCGCTCTCTACTTCGTGTTTCGGCTTTATATATATCGCTAAATGGGGTTATTTTGCTTCTACGTGCGATAAGCGTGCTCGTAACAGCAAAACTATTGTTAACTTTTTGCCTAAACTAATATATATTTTGTTATTTGATGTATTTTATTTGGAAAAAATGCATAGTTTATTAAGAGTTGTAATTATTTGAAAAAAAATACGGCGAGATGTATACATTTTTAGAATTATCCTCGAAAAACTTTCCGATGACATGCGATTTAGCGATTCAACACATTTCATTAAGAACGTTAATGATAGTTATCATCGTCGTTGCAGACTAGCCAACGGCTGGAATTGCGCAAGATGTCACAGAAAAAGAGAGATAGATAGAGAGAAGAGAGAGAGAGAGAGAGAAAGAGAGAGAGAGAGAGGGAAGGGGATCGAGTAAATTTAGGTGTAATTAAATACGCGCGTCAGCCTTGATATTATTAAAGTTACAATGCAGAAGTGTATTTAATTAACTTCCGATATTGGCGTCGATGCGATCGCATACGCATCTACTGAACGCGCGGATCAATTTACGTCGAATTTATTGTACGCCATGTTGTTATCCGCCGTATTCATAATTCAACGATACATCGGGTTAATATTAAATATCGAATTAGTACGTTCAATCAATCGCGAGCGCGAAACGCTTTGTCGGAAATTTATAGAAATTATTATACTATTTTTAAGTTTTAATAAAGGCCGCGACGAACGGAATTTTATTTGTTCTCATTCGCTAACATAGTCAATTTATTTGACATTCAATGTCAATTTATTTGACATTTATTTACACATCATCGCACTAAATATCATATATAAGTGCCGTGTATAACCATCATATCTCGTCAGGCAATTTAAACAATGAAACCCACTTATTTAACAATAATGTATCCTGTTAAAACTCATAGGTATTTTCGCACGAATTCTGCGATGGTATAATTAGGAATTCTTAACATCACAAAATAATAATAATTTAATTGAAATAAAGCTAATTTTGCATGTAGTAAACTTTAATTTCGCGCCATTATTACTATTTTACATTCAGAGTAAATTTTAAAGTAATTAACTTGATATAAGTAAATTTTAAAGTAATTAACTTGATATATATAGTTATATTTATAATTTATAATTTATTTATAATTTATTATAACTTTTATTATTTCTTCATATTATTTCTAGTTTATGTTTGAATTTAAAAATGTACATAATAATTATTGAAATATAACTATATAAACGTAATATAATTTTTTTTCGTATTTTATAAAAAATTTATATAAAAACGAGAAAGAAGAATAATATTTTCTACATGTAATTTAAACAATTTTTTAATAAAAATTTTCGAAATTAAAAGTTTAAATAAAAAATTGCTGTAGAGTGTTGATTTAAATATAAAAAAAATAATAAATAATAAAAAATAATAAATTGTAATTAAATTTAATATTTTGTTATACCAATTAAGAGATAACTATTATTACATGCATTTTAGTATCCTTTTGAACAAATAAAACATCCAAACAACGCACGCATTGATTTCCCGATCTTTTTACGCACGATATAGAGAACAAAATTGGAGCCCATTTGTCGCGCCCTGTTATTACGAAATCACGTGCCACTAGACCATAATACGAGCAACTACAGTTACTGCTTCCACGAATTTGTAAACACGTTCAATTTTAATCGATGTCTGGCCAATAAAAACACGAAAAAGAATGAATGAAAAAAGTTCTCTCAATCGGCACTGTTCACGCACAGTCTGTCTTTACATATTTAAACAACCACGATTTGTTAAACCTATTCGTTGCACTCGAAAAAGAAATCATGCTTTCAAATCCGCTTCAAATGATTATATATTTCCTTATTATTACATGCATATCCTCCTCTTTGACATAATAATCAAAAAGAAGTAAAAGAAAACTTGATATTTCTCACATATGTTGATCGATAAAAATTTTGAATATATTTTTCGCGAAATAATTCTATTATTTTTGTAATCATACAGCGTATTTGGAATTTTTACGGCTGCTCGCGTTTCATATATCATCATCCAGAAGATTTCCCAATGACTAGAGATGAAGTTACTATTCCGCATTCGCGTTGGAAATTCAGCTAATTCGATGTGCGAATTCACACTGCGGAATCGGCTGTAACGCACGGAATAGTAATATCGGGACGGTCTTAACCCCCGTACAAGTAAGATCTAATGAAGCAATTCAACTGCAACCGCAGCCCACTTCAAAGTTTTGAGAAACACCGTATTGTATTGCCAGTATATTACAAACTGCAAACGGCGGCCATACCGATGCCGCAGTCCGATTATATTTCGCGACCTATTATACTCCTAGCGATCGAACATGTGGGCAATATGGAGTGCCAACATCGCCAAAAACATGAACCTCTTGTATTCGAAAATAGCAATCCATATAATGACAAAACACGATTATCTTTGGAAATTTCTTGGATATTGCTAATCGTTAATGTGCTAAACATTAAAACATTATGCCTTTTGTAAGAAAAATTCAACGTTTCCTCATAATATTAATATAAGAAATATATAAAATAAAAAAAATATTACTGGCCTGGTAAAAATTAAAAAAATATATTGTTTTTTTGTAGAGAAACTATTAAAAATTAAAATGTAATTTATAAACCATCACTGAAAATATAAATGCTTTAAATTCGAATGTGCAAAAGAGCAAAACCAGATTTTTACAAAAAAGTTTTTCAATATTGTTATACATATGAAAAATAGCAAATATTAATATACGATATTTTTTATTTCAAAAATTCAATTTTCCTCTAGCTTTATTGAGAATAAGATTAAAACATGCAAAAATTAATTTAGAGGAAAAATATATCTATAACAAAAATGACAAATTTTATATAAACACCGGAAAAAAAAAAAAAAAAAAAATATATATATATATATACATATATATATATATATATATATATACGAAATTTTTATTTTCAAAAATTATTATTCATATAATAACCACGGATGCTAAACTTTTACGTGAGAAATGTTTTGTCATATTTTTATTTATACAAGAAAATAGCATAACACAATGTGCTATTTAAAAACATTTAAACGTTCTCTCAATTTTCATAGATTATATATATTAAGAAAAATATATTATTCTAGAAAATATAAATCTAATTTTATTGTCAAAAACATGAATCTCTCATTTCCACATATAGTAATTGATGTGACATGATATTGTCACAATTTTGTATAAAATGGTTTGATATTGTAATTCATTCATTTATATATATATATATATATATATATATATATATATATATTAAATACATATATATATATATATGTATATATATGTATGTATTTAAAGTGTCATAAAACTATGAAAATTATATTTCAAACACATACAAAAAATACTATAATAACTAATAAATAACTATTAATAAATTATATTAATAACTACTAATAAATAACTATTAACTTATATAAATAATCTTTTTGTCAATCGATTTAAACTTTCAATATTTACTTGGATGTTATATAGTAATGAAGTTTGTTCTTCGACTTTCTAAGTTTAGTGCCAAACTTTTTTTCATTAGATTTTGCAAATCTACTTCTACATTCAAGATCAATACAAAGTTTATATTTTCGCTGCATATTTAACATTGAGTTTAATTATCAAGAATTTTTACTTTTGAATAACATTAAGAGTTAAATGATAAATCTGCTTAATCAGCCGTGTGTTTATGCCATGACAAATATCGAAATACATTTTAACGTTTCGAAGAAACATTGCTGCAACGAAGACATGCACGTTCTGCTAAGGAGATTCGACTATTGCCGATACAAAATTGTCGTTGTCAGCAGTGTGTAAATTCGAAATTTGTCAGCGGTGGTGCTCTTTCCGCGTTGCAACCACAACGTATTGAGTAACAATTACCGGCCGCAAAAGCGGCACGGTCCGCGTTACCGTGATAGCGCGACAGAATGACTACTACTCACCCCATCCGCTCCGTTACATGCTCCAGCTTCGCTCGCCTCGCCGATTAGTCACGAATTCTGCTCGCTCGGGGAATGAAGGGCCGAAGGGCCGTTGTGCGCCGGATCGGATCGGTCGTGGTGTGTGCGCCTATCGTCCGCGCGTTGGAAGGTCCTATCACAAAAATCCGTTTTCACTCACCACACCTGGGACGCGCGAAACCACGAACAATGCGACTTTATATAGGCAAATGGGCGCAATTTTCGAGCGCACACGGCGCGCTGTCGTCGACTTGCTGTGCGAAAAGGGGAGACGAGCGGCTTGAATTTTTTTACTCGGCCGCGTAAGAAACGCTTGGCTCGCCGGTGACGCCGGGAACCGCGCGAGAGCCGGAAAAGCGACGACGTACGAATCGCGGCTCGCCGATGCCGACTGCCGACGACGTTCCTCGACGGCGACGGCGGCCACGGCTGTTCAGCGCGACCAACCCTTCGACGCGCGCATGCGTGTCACCCTTAGATGCGCCGCCACCCTCCGTCGTCCATCCCTCTTGCCGCGCTTCTTCGCTCTCTCGCCCGCCAATCACGGCTGCTTTTACAATGCCTCGAAAAAGGTAGTGTCCGCAACAAAGGGCAGAGTGCCTTTTCCGGCGGTGTTTTTTCCCAGAAAAGGATGCGCTCTTGCCGGTACGTGTCAAAGACGGGAAATTTAAATGATAATGAAAGAGTGACACGACGAAGCGCGTGTCTGCGCGTCGCAAATCGCTCCTGCTTTTCCGACTATCGAGTCTCGCGTTTCTTCTATATATTATAACGCGGGGGTGGAAAAAAAATTCTTTCGACTCTTCTGCTAAAAGTATTAACGCGCGTCGCGTTTTATTATTGACACACGCGTCAAAACGGGATACTATCATTGATTCAAATTTACGTGGTTGGAAATCTTTTTAAACGTCATAATCGAATATACGTACGTATATAAATGCGAAAGATAAGTCGAATGAATAAATTAAATGCTGAAAGTCTTTCCCTATGTCGTCATTTTTCCCTATACGTCAACATTTTTAAGAGAAACAATATACCCTTTTCCCAATACGTGCGCGTTCTCACGTTCCGCACGTACGCCTCGTACCAGCAATGACATTCATCATTGGCACATGTCACTTTGGTACATGACGCACTTAAGTGGTCTCCAAGACTATGCCATTTCGATAAGAAGTATCCTAAATTTGGCAGCGTATCTGTCACAAATCAATCAATAACATTTAAATTACTTTTACAATTTACATTACTTCTACATCACATTACATATTTGTTTAAAAAAAAAAGGCAAATTAGATTCACGATACAATTCATTAATTATGTAGATGCGATAGGTCTACATACATTGGCATAGTATTATCGGCAATTCTCTAGGTTGACAATAGTAGCGAATAGACCCGTAGATAATTAATGACATAGCTGGCATTAATCAATCATGTAAATGCTATTAATGCCCGACAATCGTCTATAACGCTGATCCGTAAAAATTAAATACCTTGTTAATTCAGCTTTAATGTATTCGCGCATGTTAATTCATACAATTATTTCGCATTAGATAAACACGCAAGATATCCAACACGCACTTCCTCCGTGTTAGTTAAATAACATTAGTTTCATCGTACCGTTTAATGAAACACGATCGTATGTCGCGCTTATTACGCACGCAGCGAGATATCAGGGAAACGTACGTCGACACGCATCGATGACCCAAATCGCGATTTATTAGAATACGAAGTACAAAGGTTACGGGAAGAAAAATGTGAAGGGTGCGACGGAGGATCGTGTCTGGCCATAAGCAGCGATCTGAGATAGTGTGTGGGCGGACCGCAGCATAAGATATATTCGCCTCGTATACGCAGTGCATACACCGGGTGTATCTCGTCTTCGGCTGCATGAAACCGTCGCGCGTGTACGTACATTTTGGTACGTACGTATACATACGTACGGCGAGCTATGACAGGAGATATAGCGAAATGTAGTGCGCACTGTGCTGCACGAGAATGCAGCCGCAGCATCCGACGGTGTAGCGAGCGTTGTCGGAATTATTCGCATTCGAGATAACTCGACTTAACGACATCCACGGGCGATACTTCAACGCGGTACGAAACACGGAAAATTGCGCCGATAATGTCCGCCTGTGTTATTACAACGTCGGATTTTTATCGCGGATAATTAACCGCCCAAAAAATCGCGATCAGACTCGCGACGATGTTTTAAGTAGCGAGATTTTAAATAGTAAGTAGATAAATACGTCTCTCCCGAGAAAGAAGAATCGATGATATTGTAATAGACAGAGATGTAGAAATTATTATATATATATGATCGAAGTATATTTTTTTTTAATCTTCTAAAATATCAGACTCGCACATATTCATTAACATTGGATTAGCTAATTGTTTAATTAAAGTATAATTCGTTTCCTCCAAAGGATTATATACGCCGGGCGGGGAAATATCGGTCGGATTATATCACGTGATAACAGAAAGAGGTATAACAGCGTCGCACTCGATATTAGTTATGCTAATTGGACCTACGTGTCGGGGAAGTGCAAGAGAGACTCGATCGCGTACATACATTTGTAAGCCGTCGTTTAATTCTCCATATAGATCCCACTGTCGCGATACATCGCGTCCCATACCCACCCGGTATAAATTCAACCGCGTCCGGCGAAATGAGCTTTTTGTTGTTTCCTTTTCCTTTCTTCTTCTCTTTTTATCTTTTCTTTTCTTTTTTTTTTTTTTTATTTCATCTTTCATTTCTGCGGGATGGTAACGGCATGGATCAATACGATGACGGGCTGTTTCCGCTTAAGCGGATTTTCACGGCGTTATTTTCGCCATACTCGCGAGCTGGTTAACTCGCGCTCGCGCAGCTGGTTCTCGTTCACAGTTTGCGGGGGGGAGGGGAGGGGGGAGTAGAATGCATGTGCTCAAAGCGCGCAGAAACAAGCCTGCAGACAGTCGGATCTCGTCTCCGCCACCCTCTCTCCTTCTCTCCTTCCTTTCTCCGTCTCCTTCTCTCTAAATCCACCCATCTCCAGTTTGCTCTTTTTCTCTCCGTACCCACTTCTTTGTCCTTCTTTGGTACACGAGGCCGCCGGTGATGGCGAGATCGGAACTCATCGCACACGCCCACGCAATGTATGTACACGTACACGCCTACATCACATAGGAAATGGGAAAACGAAATGAACCGTGAATAATTATGTATTACTTTTAATGCCTCACGGTTTACAGGAACGTGCTCACCGATGCCGGGGAAATATTAACGTCAAAGGTACTTCCTTCATTTTCTCCGGACGTATATACCGCCGCTATACGTAAACCGCATCGCCGTCTCGGAGCCAGGGATCAAACGATGCACGGGAGATTCAACGTATAACGACTCCTTTTTTTCTCCCGTTCCATGAAGCGCTTCCTGCGCTTCCGCGCACGTACGCCGCGATATAACGTGGAATATCGAGATAAGAATTCATCCGATCATTATAATTTAGCATAAATTTATGTGCCGACCAAGATCGTGTACTCGTCTCGATCATCCGATATATATAAACGCGGAAATTTATTCTAGAGTAATTTAAGCTACGATCGACAAGGATATCGCTTTAATTAATAACGATCCGCGAGAGTTTCCTTAATTTAATTTTTGAGTTAATTTTGTCGTTAAATTTATCGCTATTTCAGTTAGAAAATCTGTGATTGTTTATTGCTGCACATGATTTAAAAATGCATTATTTTTGACATCTTGATCATTTATAAAATATCATACCATCACCAATTGCTGTGCTTTTCACATTTTTAACGCTCATAATTTTGTTCGGTTACATTCGAGATATCTACGCAAAATCATTTGAAACAATACACATCTGTTAAAGGTATTCAGAATAGGAAAATGTAATGTATGTAAATAGTGCTGTAAAAGATGTGAAAGATCAGAACTTGTGGTACCGCCTGCAGGCGAATTTTATAATCACTAACCGAGCTGGATCGGAGCAAGTTTCCGCTGCCCTTCGTCGCCCTTTCGCACCGTTGAATCTAATTACAGGAACGTCAGTTTCGCGAACTTTGCTAGGTTTTACATCTTTATACATCATACTACGTTATTACGATAGTTTCGCGTCAGCATCGAGATCCTTTGCGGATTAACTTAAATTCATTTCTTCAAACATTAATGTTTCTTTAACAATAAACATTGCGGATTATTAATTAACTAAAAAAAAATTGCTGTGTAAATTTTTATACTATAAAGTATGAGGGGTAAGAAAATTAAAACAAAAAACAAGAGAAAGACAAAATTACATTGTTGTGTCTGGATAGTTCAAAACTCGATAATTCAACGCGCCATCAGTTTAATTTAATTTTATAAAAAGATTATTAATAATTATTTTTTCCAAAATCAAATAAACTTCTTGTTTGTTATTAATTTCCATTCTTGAATAATCTAAAAATGCAATCATTGATACGAAATATATTATACTATACTCAAGTGATATTACTTGTCACTTTATAGCCTATTTTTTCCTGTCACACTCCATAATCCAAATTTTCAATAGTAGAGCTAATCCTCTTATTTAATCTAAACTTAAAACTTTATTGAACCTTAAAAAAATGCAGTGTACGACTTCATAACAAAAATCTTCTCAAAAAGATAAAAATTATAAGACATAAATATGCTCATTACTATTAAATGCACAACATTCTCGAACTTTATAAAAAAAATCTCCTCAAAAAGATAAAAATTATAAGACATAAATATGCTCGTTACTATTAAATGCACAACATTCTCGAAATTATCATCTAAAATTAATGGCTCAATCATTTGCAGTTCGCACTTTACTCTGAAAAAAAAATGTGTTAAACTAAAGCGCACGTATTCAAGCCGCGTGGAAAGCAATTGATTTATCTACTTTTCTGTCGGCATTTCCCAAGTCGAAGTTGGCACGGAGAGAACCTTAAGCATCGCTTGTTCGCTCCGCTGTTCGACAAACTATCACCAAAGAAGTTTTAAAGCTGACCGAAAGCAGCGCCATTGGTAGATAGATGACTCTCGACTTTTCCTCGTGCAAAGTATATAATGTTTTGCATGAAAGAAGATCTCGCAATCGTTTAGAGTTTAGAGCATCGATCAATTATTTAA